AAAGGCCCAAAAAAAAAAAAAGAATTATTAAATTTCTCCTTACAATTCAGAATAGCATTTTCAAGGGGCTCCAGTGTGGCCTCCCCTTCTGTCCTTTTGTGAGAGTTTTGCTGCCTTCGTGTCTGTACCCCCATGGGGCCTGCTGTGCATTGCAGCCTCTTCAGGTGGGTCCCTGTGCAGCCGGGCAATAAAAGACCCACAGGCTAAAGGACAAAGATGATGTTAAGAAACAGCACTAGGAAGCAGGTTTACTTGTGAGTTAAACTAAGAACAGTTGCGTATATGTGGCAGGTTCTGGCTCAGCCCAGCAACTCCAGGCTTGCCTCACTTGCCCCTTAGTGCAGGTGACTTGTGAGATATCCCTCTCCATCTTTGAGTCCCACTGAGCCTGTGTCTTCTTCTGAATTTGCGCAAAACCCTTACTATGAAGCCTGCAGCACCTTAGCCAGCAATGAAGGCACAATAAATCTAAAATGGTTTCAAATTTGAGAGGAGGATTGAAAATTCCAGTAACTAGTGTGTGTTGTGGTCAGAGAATGATGGCGAGAGGAAGCCAGTTTGGTAACTTGGTGGAGGAAGAGGATATCAAAATTTTATTTTCTGCTCCAGACCATCTGCTGAGTCTTGCTTACTGTGAATGCTGCTGTAAAGATGAATAAAGATAAATCGTTAGATGACAAGTGGCTTTTCTCTGAGGGATCTGACCAATGTATATAAATACCTTAAGAGAGATCTTTATGGGAGGAGGGAAGGAGGATGGGGCCAGCCTCTTTTCACTGGTGGGCAGCAATAGGATTACAGGAAACAGCCACAAACTGACGCACTAAAAGTTCCACGGGAACTTAAGGAAAAATTTCTTAACAGTGAGGGTGACAGAGCACTGGAACAGGCTGCCCAGAGAGGTTGTGGAGTCTCCTTCTCTGGAGATCTTCCAAACCCGCTTGGACGCAGTCCTGTGCCACGTGCTCTAGGTGACCCTGCGTGTGCAGGGGGGTTGGACTAGATGATCTCTAGAGGTCCCTTCCAACCTTAACGATTTTATGATTCTATGATTCTTAAACTGAAGATTTATTGTGTTGGTGAAAACTAATGTCTCATCAAAAAGGAGAAATTGTGACTGGTGCTTTAAGTAGAAAATCTTTATCCTAGACCTGAATTTGATATTAATGTCTAAAAATATTTGCTGTTGTAAGAATCTTGAAAATAATTTTGCCATCTTACTAAGTTGAATTAAGTATGAAGTAACCTACTAAAATCACTGATAAAGAAATAGAGTAATGGTGTAGAAATCCTTGGAAAACAAAAGTTCTTTCTTTTTATTTAGAAAAATAATGCTTCTGTACATTATGTCTTCAACCCCGTTCTCATTTGGATCATGATGAACAAGAAATATGGCAGTAAAAAGAATAACTGTTTCGGGTCTATTATCTGAATTTTATGATAAAAATTGACCTGTTTGAATTATAAAAATACACTTCATAAGTATTGAAAAAAAACATTTGACAAAGCAGAGGATCAAAGTTGACATTTTTAGTGTAGATAATGAGATTAATTTGCTTCAATAGTAAGTATCTGGCTGAACAAAACATGCTATTTGAATTCTCCTTAGTTCTTACCGATGCATGCAGAGCAATGCGCTGGTTTTTGCACAAACAAAAGGTTGTACTTTAAACCAACCCTGTCACACTGTAGTGTATTTCAAACTTGTGCCTTCAGACAGTCACTGTAAACCTCATTGAAATAATGAAATATTTGCGCGTTTAGTGCAATTCTAACATGTTTGCTTTTCAGTTTCAAGTTGTTGTTCTCTGTTCAGAAATTTTAAGATGCTTAAACAAAAATCAGCATTATAAAACCAAGCAACATCAGAAATGCTTCTTTTTACCTTAGTGACCCTTAGTGTTCCTTACAGCTGTTGAAGAAAGGCCAAACATACACATTTTGTATCTTTTCTAAAATACCTGCTATTAATCAGTTAATATTCATAATAACTATTATTTTTAATGTAATAACAAATGTATATATAAAAGTATGTAAATGTAGTACCAGGTATGCCATGTTTTAATATTTTTATCTCTAATATGGAATTGCAAGTGAAATGTATATACTGTTCTTCATGTTGTGCACTCAGCCATGAAAATTTAGTAATTATATATTGTTGTATAGAATCAGGAAACTTCATTGCCCTTTGATCGCAGTATTTATGGGATGTGTTTCCAGCAGGCAGTCTCCCAAACAAACTTGTTCTGGGGGGGGGAAAAAAAAGCACCATTCGAGTGAATGTAAGGGTCTTAGACTGCAATAAGCAAGTATTCCTTTGATAGACTTAGGTTTAAGTGAGTAATGTTTGGGTGTGAAGATACCTGTTTTATGTAACTACAGAAATGAAGCTGGGAGTATGGCAAGTGTTTTGAGAAGGTTTTCAATGGAAAATCTCTCAGATCAGAGGGGGATGAGTTATATGTCAGGCTCCCTTTCACTCGAGAGCCTTTGACTGTCCGTAGCCCTCAGGGCTGAGAGGGGCCCTGGGGG